GTTTTCCTGCTTTCTTTGCCACCGGTCATCTTTTTGCCATGTGCTGGATAAAGCACAAGTCCCACAGAAATGATTTCAAAGTACCGAGCACAGAATAAATGGATGGGAGTTTCATAGGTTATTTACTCTGCTCAGCCTTCCCATCAAAATCCTACTTTGGTTTTTAAAACAGTAGCTGAGAACAAGCCCCTTTTCTACCTCCTTACTGTCACCTCTTGCTCGCTGTGTTAAGATGCCTCAAGACTGTTTCTGTATTTTCTCCCTCCTATTGAGATGCTTTTATAAAATCTGAAATAAAACCTGACTCGGGTTTGTGTGTACCGAAATTCAGTCCCACCTACTGTTTGCTTTGCAACGCTGCCTGAAATATAATTTTAATTTCATATTAGTTGTTTGCAAAAGAGGAAGCCCAATTAAAGAGATGAAAAGGAAGTCCCTTAATGGCACTTTTCGTGAGAAACCCCACAATAACAAAGCAGCGTGTGTGAGAACACAGACAGTGAGAGATGCTGAGCCCTACTGTGCCTGTCAGCTTGGCTTTTGCATGCAGGGGAAAGAGAACAAAATTTACAAGGATGCTACTCTCTGAAGTGCTACATGCACTGCTGGTGAGCCCAGGAAGGAAACAAAGACAGCCGTTCAAAGTAATTGAAGAACAGACATAGTACTAGGTTGGCGCGCTGAGAAAATAGACCCATCAGATTTAGACTTTCATAGAATCATAGAATGGTTTGGGTTGCAAAGGACCTTAAAGATCATCTAGTTCCACCCACCTGCCATGGGCAGGGACGCCTCCCACTAGACCAGGTTGCTCAAAGCCCCATCCAGCCTGGCCTTGAACACCTCCAGGGATGGGGTCTCCACAACTTCTCTGGGCAACCTATTCCTGTGCCTCACCACCCTCACAGTAAAGAATTTCTTCCTCATATCTAATCTAAATCTATCCTTGTTTGGTTTAAAACCATTACCCTCTCGCCCTATTGCTACACTCCCTGATAAAGAGCCCCTCCCCATCTTTCCTGTAGGCCCCCTTTAGATACCGGAAGGCTGCTATAAGGTCTCCCTGGAGCCTTCTTTCCTCCAGGCTGAACAACCCCAACTCTCTCAGACTTTCCTCTCAGGAGAGGTGCTCCAGCCCTCGGATCATCCTTATGGCCCTCCTCTGGACTCGCTCCCACAGGTCCATGTCCTTCTTATGTTGGGGACTCCAGAACTGGATGCAGTACTCCAGGTGGGGTCTCATGAGATTGGAGTAGAGTGGTAGAATCACCTCCCTCAACCTGCTGGCCACATTTTTAAGCATTAATTTTAAAGGGTTCAAGGGTGAAATTAAACATTTGCTTAAATATAAAAAGCACTTTCAGAATAACAACACCTCGAAAATAAAAACAACTCATAAAACCATTTCAGTTTTGATAGACTTTGCTCTTTTTTTTCCCCCACTGCTGAGCAGTGTTTTATTATGATTATAAAATTAGGCTTTTCAACAATTATAATGGGGTATTTTGGGGGGTTAAGCTGCCATTTTTGATCACAGTATGCAAGTAGGAGAAAGGACCTGGAAAGCACCAGAAAGTTCTCCAGGCATACCCACAGACTACACAGGCCTCCCGTTTTTGGGGGGCTACCCAGAAACTGGGCAAGCCCCTGTTTTTCCAGCTCAGCAGCCAGAACTGGGGTTGACACGAACACGAACTGTAGGCGCTTATTTAAGAATAACACTCACACAAATTTAAAACCCATATTGAACTATTTATTTTGTGCATTCACCTTTCACTGCGGCCCATGCTAACATCAAGTACTTCTAACTGCTGAAGGGAGCAAACAGAAATTGCCTCCATCACCTGAAGCCGACAGTCGGCTATTCAACCGGCAATCTCCCTCACGAGATGACATGATCGGCCTCCTTAATGACAAGTGGGAGTGTTTGATTTTCAGCAGCAGTGCTACATTATAGCATGCATTAATTTGCTAGAAAATCGCTTTAGAAGAGCATAAAGTGTAATGGATTCAAGTTAGAAACAGGGAGTACAATAAATGCCCAAAAGGTACCTCTGAAGTGTGACTTCCCTGAGAAATTCTTTAACAAAGAGAACTTAAAATAACCCATCTCCACATATTATACTTAGAGAAGTATGGAGATAGTCTATCAGGTCACCCGTCAGCGGATATGAAGCATTAACCTATTTCAAATGTTATGTGTATTTACCGACAGAAATTGAATAGGTCAAACAGGTATCTGGCTCACAATAGATGATGAAACAGTGTTTAGTTCGATATATGAATAGCTACTCATGTAAATCAGTGTGTGTGCAGGGGTTATTGGGGCTATTTCATTGTTGCCTCCTGTTTCTAAAGAATTGTGTATTTTACCTCGTGAAACAAACCCTGGAGTGAAAGGTATCAAGCTTTAAAGCAAGGTTATAGTAAACAATGAGAATACCACACGGAGCACATGGTTTGTGTTAGCAGAGTACAAGTTTAATAGCACAGACTTCTTGCAGGTCAGGTTGACAAAACCATACTCCTCCTTGCCATACTACCTGCATTAGAAACATGGTCTTGCTTTTTCTCTCATCAACAACAACAAAAAAAAAGCCAACACTAGACTGCATCAACAGATTGCCGTCTCCTGGTGTACCAGCGAGCCTTCCAGACATCTCTTATGTTGTTCGTGGTGTTAGTTGTGGAGTTTTTGCTATGACGGGAATTCAGGGTTACTTCTGCAGGAAGGCCATCTGAACAGAAAGGTTAGGATGTGTCTAATTTAGCCACCTTTGTCTCCTTTCATGTGCATTTCCAGGCTGTCCCGTGCTATTTCGTATCTCGTGTATATCCTGACTCTCCCCTACAGCTATCTCCTTGCCAGCAATCATACATCCAGGATGGGATTTAAGTCATTTTTACTGCTGGCTTCAATCAGATGAAGTTAGGATAACAAAGAAAACTTTCAAAAACTCCCTAATCAGTTCTATGTTACCTTAATTGGTTGCTCTCTGCATTTCTCCACTTTCCTTTATACATATCCAGTGTTTTATATCATACAAGAGAACAGCCAGCCAACACCTAAGAGGATGGAGCTGGTCTGTCTTGGGTGGTGGGAGGAAGGGAAAACCCACCAGAGCTGGGAAAACCCACCAGAGAAAACCCCATCCTGAGTCTGAGAGCAGACGGCTGCTTTCAGAGATCAAAACTGAGCAGCATTTCAGTTTGACTTATGGGATTGTATGGGGCCATCAGCTTTGTGCTGACCTCCATGAACACAACCCAGTTTTGGCTGGGAAGCGCTCTGCTGTAACCTGCTGCCCTCAAACTAACGTGACGCTGGGGTTATGGCACAAGGCGGGAGGCAGGAAAGAGCCTGGATTTCAGACCCGAAATGCATGGCACGTCTTACAGGGCCGCTCCGGACAGGGTGGGTTTGAGTGTGCTTCGCTGTCCCTCTACACCTAGCAATTTGTGAGGGGTTGCTTAAGCAATGCAAAATCAAACATTTTCCGTATTTTAAGGACAGAAACTGTACCACATCTGGACAACCCCACTGTTTATTTTTGGTGGTTTTTCATTCATTACAACACACCTACGGCTGTTTTAGTATCATTTCCAAGGAGTCTGGCTTCTTTCCTGATGTATACAGCATCTCTTAACAGAGAACGTGTGAACAGGCATCTGGACAGGGAAGGGATCAGGACTAATCACAGGCAAGGACCGCAGACATGACTGTCAGGGAGAACTACACACGGAGCATGCAGAGGCTTTTTTTTGGTCATTTTCCATGGCTTAATAAAAGTTACCTATTCCTTAACATTCGCACAGCACGCAAACAGGCAGCGACCGCGCGGCCGATGGCACTGCCCTGTGCCTGTGGAAGCACTGCTCTGCACTGCACAGCGAGGCAGGGTCTCGGGGCCAGACCCACAGAGATATTTAGGGGCCTAACTTCTATTTCAGACTTCAGTGGGAGGCTGGTGCCTAAATAGGAGTTGAGCACCTGATTACCTTTGCAGGTCTGGGCTCGGGCAGAGGCAGCCAGGAGGTGCTCCAGGTCCCCTGCCTGCCCGCGGGAAACTCCGCTCCTCTCCGGCCGGCGGTCGAACCGTGGTGTGGTGCGACCCTGGTGTTGTGAAGTAGCCGTTCTCCGACTGGTGACGGCCTGATTCACAACACCAGCTGCTGCACAGCACCTGAGGGGGCCCTCCCGGCTGGGCTCCTTCACACACTGCCCTCCTCCGGGGTCCATCTTCAACACTGCCATCTGCTGGAAAGCAAAGTGACAGGGTTAGGTCCACTGATCCCACCAGTTATATACCCCTACCTTTTTAAAATAGAAACGTGTGAAGGGTGTATGTCTCCAAGGGAAAAAAAAAAAAAAAAAAAAAAGAAATAAAAGTGGGAAATTGGTGCTGCAGTCAGGATCTACTGCTTTGTAGAGGTGGGCTGCAGCACGATGCCGGTAGCGCGTACAGCTGTGCTCCTATTCATTTCCTGAGCTCATCTCAGGAGGGACGGAGGCTTGCAGGTGGGGGAAGCAACCTAGAAACTCAGCCAAGCCCTTCAGAGACACGGGGGAAACAGGCTGCTTTTTCACAGGTCCCAGGACGTTGTCAGAAGGAGAGCAGTGCCCCAGGGACCGCGTGGCTTCCCGAGCGCAACGCTGCCATTAACCCTCACGCCTGCACCCTGTCCGCTCCTCCGAGGTGGGTGAGACACTGACACGCGTGTGGTCTGTTCCCAGAAGCTGCCCAGCGTGCTGGCATTTGGGAAGGTGCCCCCACCCCACAGAAGTCGTGCTGGGACCTGCGAATGTCCTACTCTGCAGCCCTTCCTTCCCCTGCGAGGCGTCCATCCCTCAGGAGCTTGCAGAAGCTGAGGGACACAACCCACTGCTGACCAAGAAAGACGATCTCTTAAAACCACACAGGGAGTTAGAGACTCTGGGGCTTTCGTATTGCTCGAGGGCAAAAGAAGTCTCCCCCGCCTGCGCAGGGCTGACGCTGGTGAGCACGCTGACCATCACCGCCTGCAACACAGCATGTTTCTCGGGCAGTGTTTCTCCAGTTCAGTGTTGTAATGCTGCAGCACTACAGGAACAGCTCTGGGGAGAGCACAAGTCCAGGTCGTCCTGCAGCTTTTCAAGAAGACAAAAAAATGTGGAAACGAACACAAGCTTCTCCCTGACTCTCCTCAAAATGTTGCATGGGTGGTACAATGACTCGCTTGAAATAGTCAGGTTATTCTTAAGGTGTTACCACCAACTCCTTATTGGGCTAATTCATCTAAGCACGTGTGAAAAATAAGCAAATAATAAAACTTCATCCTGTGTATTACAGACTTTCCTCACCAACCAAAACCCAAAAGAAAGCAGAGTTTCTTTGAATCGGCTCAGGACTATCCCTGGGATGAGGACCCATTGCAGGAGTCCTTAAGCAAACTGGACAGAAAGCAAGCGATGTGAAGCCTAGCAAACCTCCACGGAGAAACTGCTGGGTTTTAATAGTTCTCCTGAAATGGGTTAGATGTGGAGGCAAAACTTCCGATGTTGCTGAAGAAGGGAACATGTCCCCCAGCTCCATTCCCACTGCCAAATTTAATCCAAAGGAAATGCCATGTATTGTCTTGTCCCTACAGAGAAGGGAGACGTCACATTTAGTCCCTGGGCAGAAAAGCAATTAACATATGCACTAATGGAAGATATCCCAGAGAGAGAGGTTATACAATTTGGTGTCTGTAGGAAATGGAGCTAAATTTCTTGACACCCGTGCATGTGTGTACACTTGTAAAGTCTCAGGCATGTTGTACTAACAGACCTTTTATTTAAAGAGCAGTTTCTAGAATTTTACTATGTTGAAAAAACCCCAAATGTATTTATATTTTATGCATATCTATTATTCAGCCTTCAATCCTGAAAGGAAGAGCCTGAAAGCTGAACTTGTGTTGTGGCTGGTGCTGATCAATGGTGACACGGTAATGCCGGATGAAGGTGAATTGTCTCCCCTGAGCGGATCTTTCACCGCGTGTGGTGGCACTGAGCACACTTGACGAAGCACATTGTGTCACACACAGAGTAACGCCAAATACTTTTTGTACGTTCTCTGTTCCCTGGGAACACTAAAGTCTGTCACTGGTACTGTGGGTGGGAAAAGAAAAACAAATGATACGAGCCTTTTTCAAGGTTGTTTAAATCCTTCTGAAAGCTTTCATGCAATCTTCGCTGAAGTATATCAGACTACTTTAAAAAAGGAGGCTACTGTATATGCATTGCTTGCTCCCTGGAAGAAGCCAATTTAAAAGCCTTTTCAAGTAAAAAAACCAGTATTATATGTTGTACAAGTAAGAAATGAACACTTAATCTACTTTCTCTCCCCTTAATGTACCTCCAGAGATGAGGTTGGTTTTCTGCTTCTTTATGCCCTCAGTCAAATAGTCCAACACAGTCTTAGAGTATGTCCGAGATGAAATTTTAATATTCTCCCATTTTTACTTAGAATGATTTTATTCAGTCATCTACTGGCAATAGGTCTCATGTTCTTTAATGCTACGTGGTTTGAAAGCTTCTTGTGATTTCAGCTAGGTTACACACATGTAAATGTGCAATCTCCTGAACAGCTGAGTAACCAGCAGCTAGGGAACTGTGTTCCCCCATGCCACCCTGTGGGGTCCAGAAGCACTGAGGAAAACCACCAAAACCAAATATTTACCTTAGGATGACACTAGCGCATTAGGAGAAGCATCTCATCTCCTATAAATAGGCAAATAAACTTCCCAGTTTGGAGAGAAAAAAACCCCACCAACACAAAAACCCCAAATAATGCAGATAATCCTGCCTAGGAATTAGCATTTTTTTTTCATATTTAGAAACAGGAAAGCGTAACGAGAAAACAAGCCAACAAGCTGGTTTTTGTACGCTGAGTTTCCAGGTGGTGAGCAGGACTTCGGAGCGGGGTCAGCACAGGACCTGGGACACCAACTGCAACCCCACCCCATAAGGTTATTACCACCCTTAATATCCCATGCAAATAGATTTCCGTGCTTTAGTCACAGCAGTCTATTAATTCAGCCCTCTTGTCTGGTACATCTTTATCCTCAGCAGGTTAATCCTGCCAAATTCCTTTGCTGTAGTACATGTCACACAGCATATAATATCCAACAATGCAATTTTGCTAATCCTGTTTTATCAGCTTTGTTGCCCTGTCTGGTCAATCCAATAGCGAAAAACTGCACATAAGGTTTTTGCCAAGATCTCCCTCTCTTTTGCCCTCTTCCCCCCCTTCCCCCCCCTTTGTATGGTTTCAATTAAATGGTTTGAGAGCAGAACATAGCATTTGGATATCCGCCAATGTCCTTCAGAAGCAGAATGTCAAGGCACTTAATTATAGAGGTCTCCCAATTCTTTCAGGCGCCCCACCTACCCAGTCAGCTGAATTTACTAAGTGCAAGTGTAAAAAATCAGCTCAAATCTCTTTTTAAACACTCTCCACGCATTAAGGACTTGAAGATGGCTGAATAGCGATATATTTATCGCTCATTATCTTACTAAAAGATTAAACAAATGAGTAAAGACTGTCTCATTAACAGTTCTTTGTTGTCTTGTTTACTGTTTAGTGGACTCATTAACATTAATTATTAGAAGAGGAACATCAATTATTGCAATAACCTTTGTCAAGCCGAGCAAACCGACTGCTAAACAGCAAACGGATCCACGTTTATCGGGCAGGATTTGCACCAACAGAAAGAAGAAAAAAGAAAAGACCCGCGAAATCCTTGACGTTGCGCTAAGGCAGCAGCGATCCGGTGTTGCTTGTGAATTCTGGCATCAGCAGAGCATCCTGCTCGAGACCTCTAGGCAGAGAATAAAAAGGGTAAGTAAATTCTGAGCTTAACTCCGCAAGACTTGCTTACCCAGCTCTAAGTGGTGAGACGTGAACAAAGGGATCCCTACTTCCTCCAGTGCTCGCCAGGCTGTATTTATTACACTAATTACTTTAACGCAGCGAATCTGCCCTTTCTCTCCCTCGTCATCAGCGCAGTGCATATGCTTGTATAAATATAACACAGACTGCAGCATCGATTTCAGGATTCTCTGTCAACACGCTGCTAGAGCTGACTGCTTTACTGCCTCAGGTGAAGGGCATTTTTACACTGTTATGAGATATTATGGTTTGGGCTCCCCTCTCCTCCTCCCTCTGATTTCTTTTTCCTTCTGAGAAGACCAATCCCAGGTGGAGATCTCCTCCTCTGCCTGAGCAGAGATTCGATGTTGTACCAGTATTTTAAACACACCATATATTTCAGCAGCTCTGGCAGGAGTTAAATATCAGCAGTAGCACATCCATTATTTAAAATACCACGAGGAAGAAGGCTGAGTCACTAAGCGGGATCCGTCACCTCTGACACCATTTCTCAGCCTAAATACAAGTGCCAGCCTGCGCCCAAGAACAAAATGAACCTTTCCAGAAGAAGCCTGAGCCAAATCCAGGGCTTGTAAGATTATATTTATATACAATTAGAAACAAGGGCAGCTAAGAGCTGCACTTTTTGCAGATGCTTCCACAGCTACACGCTGTGAGCAACTGACAGCGAATACACAGATCGCTTCTTATGCCAGCCAGGTTTTAAAGAAAGAGCCCTTGCAATTTTGGAAAAGCTGCCTCCCTGTGCTCCATATCACCTTCTCGCCCCATGGCCCCACCATCATGGTCCACCAACACCTTCCCCTTGCTGCCCCTGGTAGCGCATCGGCTCTGCCTGGGTCTCCCCGCTAACTAAAACGTGAAACAATTAAGCTGTTTGCTAAATTAGCGATTCTGGGCCTCCAACCTCCTGGCCGGAGAGAGGTCCACGGAGACGGCGTAGCCTGTTACCTCGGCATGAATTTGTGCTGACAGGACAGTCCATCCGTCTCCACCTCTTTAGACAGCTGTGCTTACCTAGCAGAATGTAAACATCTCTGAACTTTGCTTACTGGATAAAAGGAAGCATTAGTTTCCTATTGCATTTCCTCCTATAAGATCAATCATACACACGGGCTAGACACAGCATCCCTATGTTTGTAATTAATCTCATGAAGGAAGAACATCTCCTCTCAATCGATTGCTATATTTGTATGCAGTCTTCCTGCGAGAGAGGGAGTAGAAGAAGAAAATAAAAGCCAGTAGCAGAATATTAATCAGCTGATCCCTTAATAAAGGCTGGTACGTGCTATATATGCACAGCAAGATGCTTTTTTAGTGAGCTGATTCT